TTAAAAACCAAAACTGAACTATTTTAATAGCTGTGTAATGGGGAAGAGAGAAAGAAAAAAAGTCACGGTATCCAGCCGGACTCGGGCCGAGAATTCTCACAAGCTGTTAGATTCGAGCCTTTCCCTTGTTTCAATTAAAAGTTCCCCCCAGCTCGGCGGGCCCCCCAACTGCCCGGGCCCATATGCACCTGCATGCCCAGATGCTATGCCACTGTTTGAAAGCAACAAAACAAACACGCCCTTATTTTGAAATCTCCGCCCCACACGTACGTACACATCCCTGGCAACGACGATCGCAGAAACAATGAAGATGACACACAAGCATATTCAAACAAAAGCCAACACGGATAAGTTATGTGAAACAAAGCAAATCAACCTTACTCACCTATCAAGAAGAAACAACGTAACCTCGGCGTCCGATTCAAGCCCTTCCCGCACCTTGAGTTCTCTAAACCGCTGGAACAGTGCCTGATCATAACCCTTCTTTTTAATGTTTTGTTTCTCTGATATTTTACTCTTTTTTTTATCTGCCATCTCTCTCTATCTATAGGCGATCTGCTAATATCCGTCCTGTGCACTCAAATTGAGCGCTCTCTTCTCTCTATCAATGCAAGACACACCCCCTTACTGCTGACTGGCTACAAGTGTGTTTTGGGACTCGGTTCGACGCTTCAAAAATCACTTAGTGCACCTTTAATCAAAAAACGTAAAAAAAACTAATTTTCACACAGGTCTACACAGTAAAGGCTACTACAGAAATAACCTACAGCCAACATTTAATGAAGTAATAAATGTAAAAATAAAACAATGCACAGTCTTCATTGTATACATTAAATATAGATGATTCTTATTAAAGTTACTTAAGTGATTCAGTCCAGAGTAGTGAGTGCTTTTCTCTCTTTCTTTTGTTGTTTGATTAACATTTATGATGCAGTCAGCGGCAGCAGGTTTATGTTGCTTTAATAAGACCTGAAACACATATCAAATATTTTGACACATCCGTATTTCTTCCAACTGTTCAGGTTCTGTGTGCGCACACAGTGCCCGCCGGCCTTCAAGTACTGGACAAGACTTAAAAACACATGCAAATACTGAATATCATTTTCGTGATAATACATCAAGTCAGTGGCATTTCTGTCAACTGTCCCTGGACTTGGAAATATTTTCCAAGTCCCAAAGACTCGAGTCAGAGTAAAAATGCATTAGAGTCTGTGACAAGTCCAAGGCTACGTCCACACGAAGCCAGAGCTTTCCCTATCCGATCTTTTTTTCCCCTCGTCTCAAGAAATATCTGCGTCCACACGAAACCACAAAACAGACACAAAACGATGTAGTATACATGCCAGACAAGTATGTGGCGCTGTAATTCTGCCACAGAGATACACTAAAACGGAGAAGACTTGGACTATGCGCATAAACCTTGCGTGTGGTATACAAACGAACACGGAACAATACATTTATTAATCTGTGTTAATGTTAGTTAATAAAAAGACAAATGTTCAGTGTTTGTTCATGTTTTTGTTGCTTTTACATGACGTAGCGGTGTCTGACTAGGGGCGAGACGTGGGCTGATGACGTCATCGTTTCAGAAAATATACGGATTCGCTGTCCACATGAAAACGCAAGGGTGTTCCACTATGGGACCCGGTTTAAAAAAATATCGGTTTCAGTCTCCCAAAACGCCGGATCAGTGTGGAAGAAACGCCTGTACAATACAAAATGTATGCGTATACCGTTAAACACGTCTCCGTGTGGACGGGGCCCAAGTCTGCTAAAAGTTGTACTCTAGTCTGAGTACCCCAACTCTATGAAACATAGAGATAATATACACAGGGCCAATAAGCCGACAAGGTAACAAGATAAAAAGACACACCTGGGGAGATTAATCAAGGGGGGGAAAACTACAAGCTGACTACAAAGAAAGCACAGGAAACACTTCAACATGTAAGTCCAGAGAAGACACAGGGAACATGTAACAGCTGTGGAGTAAAATTGCTTTCCTTGAAAGTGACTTTATTATTTAAAAAGTCGCACTTTAACACTTTCAAGGAAAGTCAGTTCACTCGACAGCCATGCCTTCGATCAGATTTTTTGGTTATGCAAGTCCGAGTCTTATCTATTTAAAAGTCAAACTACTGAAGTCTCTTTTTGCCAAACTCACATTTTTCAAATTGTCAATAAAATGACACGAGCTGTCTCATACATTTAGTTTCTTACACTCAAATAGCGTTAAAAAGCGGCACCCATTACATTCTCCAGTGGTAGACCCATATAGTTTGGTATGGCTTAATGCTAACACTTACAAATCCTCCATCCACCAAGCAAGCAAGGTATAAGGTGTGTTTGACTTCAAAATAAACATTAAGTGGACCTCCTTGTTGTTGTCAGTAATAGCGATTTCAAAGAAGGTCAATTGGGTCTCCATTAAGACCCCATATGCTAATATATGTATTTTCTATTTTTTTTCAATATGCTAGTATGTATATTTATCAAAGTACTCTGTCCATAAGCACCTCCAAGTCATAGTTTCATCTTATAACAGCAGCTCTGGGCATGTGACAAAATGGAAAACCTCCCCATAAAAAAATGTCACACTGATGGCTTGCAAATGTTTCTGTTAGTCTGACTCATTCATTCAAATTAGAATGTTTATTACAGCAAAATGTGCATGAACATTGGGTGAGGTTAGGAGTGAGCGGTCGAAGTGTTTGGAAAACTCCTGTCCTGCCCATTAACTGCACTGTAAACAATTGTTCTGTAAAAAAAACGGTAATGTGCTGGCAGCAGAGTCGCCAGCAAT